CGACTGCTGCAGACCCGGAGGGGCCCGAGCCCCGGGAGGGCCGCGGGAGCTGTGGCGAAGGGAGCCACTCTGCCTGTGGGAGCCCACAGGGTATTTCAAAACTTCCGGTGTGTCGGAGCACTGCCCGCACCTCCACGCCGAAGTTGACTCTAGCGCTGGTGTTTTACATAGCTCCTCCTCTAAAGATTTCAATGTTTAGCTCTGAGGACTTGAGAACCCATCCGATCGTATCCTGCTCCCGTGCCAGAGCTAGCCAGAAATGTAACTTCTTAAGTTTCTACCTAGACGGTGCTGAAGATGTTGCAGGCAAACTTAGTACATTTTTAGTTTCAATCGCGGTTGCTAGTTTTCTGCGAAGGGGACACGACGAGAAGTGCAGACTTGTTTCTCCTTAACTGGGCCTTTTGGTCCCCACCCCTTACTCCAGTCTCTTTACCTTTGGGACGGTGGAGTCAGGCAAGCAGAAATCTCTGTGTTGGACCGCAGCACCTGATTCATTTGCAGTTGTGTGCCCTTAGTGCTTTTAAAACTTCGCAGGGGGTGGGCCGCTCAGAGATGGAACACGTGCTTGGCTTGGGGTAGGCCCTGAGTTCTTTGCTTAGGGGTGAAAAAAAAGTATATGTTATATCGTGGGTTACAGAGAGGAAGACTAGTAGGAACTCTATACCAGGAAAGGAAACCTTCCCTACTGCCAACATGTACTAATAAAAGTTTTTTTGAAAAAAGAAGCTAAATAGTCCACAGCAAGTGAGGATTGAATTGCAGTGTTGGTTTAAGAGGGTGCAGATGCAGAGATATATTTTAGGAAAAGTCCTTCCAAAGTAAAAGGGATGCTTAAAGTGTTAAGTTCTAGTTACTGACACTAGAAAATTAATTTATGAGAAATACCCCGTAGTTTGGTCTTGCTGGGTAAATGAGATGGTTTTATTTGTTTTGTTTTGGTACTGGGGAGTGAACCTAGGACCTCAAATGTGAGAGTTAAAGCACTCTACCACTGAGTTACATTCCCAGCCCTACTTTTATTTTATTTTGAGAGGGAGTCTCAGAGTGACTCTGGCCTCAAACTTTGGATCCTCCTGCTTCAGTCTCCCAAGTAGGAATTACATAAAGGCATGTTACACCATGCCTGGTGAGAGGGCTTTTTTTAAATTACTTTTTTAATTTTTGAAGACTTTAAATTTGATACAGATACACATGTGTTTGTGTGAGATTTTGTTCTCTTAAGTTCCCTAAGTGTGTGCTTCTAAGGACCACATTTCATAGTACAAGAAGGAATAATTTGGTTATGAAAGACTGTTTCTACAATGTCTTATTAGTTTTGTCGACTATTGTGGGAACTTGAGCCTTGTGATATTCACCTCTAGAATGTCTCATTCCTATATAGAGTCTTAGAGAGAAGTCAGTGTTTTGTAGAATCTGTCATTAAGTCTGTACTTTTGCTGTATTTTCCTACCACTGTAACTATATTGAGAACTCTTATAATACCTGCATTACAGGTATGTTATGAGAAACAAGTAAAACTTGTAGATACTTCTTGGTTTAGTAGGAAATTGCTTTTTTGTTTTTGTATTTTGGTGCTGGAAATTGAACCCAACACAGGCCAAGCACATGCTCTACCATTGAGCTATACCTTTAACCCTAGGAAATTGCTTTAACACGGTTTCCACCAGATAGAAAGGTAATGCATGTTGCTTGTTTAAAACAAAAAGTTAAAGTCAGTAACATATAGAATATGAAAGACTTCTCTCATTCTTCATCTTCAAGATAACCTGCTTAGTTCATGATTGTTCAGCTTATCATTAATTAATTAATTTAGGGTGCAGGGGCTCTATCTCAGGGCCTCACACATTCTAGGCAAGTTCAGCCAGCCCCAGCCTTCAGTTTATTTTCTTTGTGTACATTTACACTGTTTCTTAAAACTGAAAAATGCAAGTTTGCTGTGCATATTATTCTGAAACATGGGGGGTTTTTGGTTTTTGGTTTTTTGAGACGGTCTCACTGTGTAGTCCAAGCCAGCCTTGAACTTGGTATGTCCTGGCGTTGGGCTTGTGCTCTTCTGCCTCAGCTTCCCTAGTGCTGGGATTACAGGTATGCCGCATCACATTTGGTTGAAATACGTTTCTTTTTTGCTGCCCAGCACTGGGGATTGAACCCCTTTAACACTGATGTATAAACCCAGCCTTTTAAAGTATTTTTTACTTATTGTCCTCCTAGAGATTGAACCCAGGATCTTCACACTGTGCTACACCTTGAGCCTTTTTAAAATTTATTTATTTTTATTTTGAGACAGGTTCTTAGTAAGTTGCCCAGTTTGGTCTGGAACTTTGTACCTCCTGCCTCGGGTTCCCAGAACACTGGGATTTTTTTTTAATATATCTTAGATATCTTTCCAACTAAATCTGAAGGATTTATTTTCCCATTCTGATAACTTTCCCATTCTGATAACTTCACAGTGTTGGTCGTATTTTAGATTAGTTGACTTATCTAGAGTTGTGTTGTTGGATGCAGTAGCTACTTGTAGCTATTTAAATTAGTTGAAATTACACAGAAGTCCAGTTCCTCAATGTCACTAACCACATTTCAAGGGCTCAGTAGTTACCTGTCCACAGAAATGTTATGTTGTATTAGGCAGCACAAGTACTACAGGTTATTGCTACCATCTCAGGTCAGGTGCACAGTACAGATCTAGCGTACTTGCTTTTTAGTATGTGATGCTAGGGAGTTTTGTTTGTTTTTGTCTTTTTGAAACAGGGTTTCATTATACAGTTCAGGCTGGCCTTGAGCTCACTACGTAGCCCAGGCTGGCCTTGAACTTGCAACGATCCTCGTGCCTCAGCCTCCCAAGTGCTGGGATTACAGGTGTGTGCCAGCACCCCCAGCCTCACCTGCTTCCTGAATCTTTCTCATTTAGGATTTGAATTCTGTCAATATATTTTGTCTGCTCTAATTCTTAAATATCTTTTTAGTCTTTTCCAGAGATATCCATCCTTAAGACTACTGTTACAATTCAGGTCATTGTTTCTTTTTGTGGATGACATGGCTTCCTGCTGGTTTCTTGCTCCAGTCTAGTTTCTCTTTTTCATTCTCTACACCAGGACCAAATCTTTTAGTGACTTCCTGTTCCCCTTAATATCTGATCCAGACTTTTTTTCCTTGTGGTACTGGGATTAAACCCAGGATGTTCACACTGAGCTATATCTGCAGCACTTTTTTTTTTTTTTTGGATTCACCCCTACCTCACTGGCAGACGTGATCACTGCGTTCCTTTTCATACTCTCTGTCCTGGCCAGACTGAATTGTCTTTCAGTACTGTGTTTTTAAACCCTGCCTCTGGGGTTTCTGCATGTGCTGTTTACTTTGTCTGGTGCCCCTTTCCCATCCCAAGTTTGCTTTCTTGCTTAACTCTTACTTTTCCTCTGGAACCAAGTTAAGTTCGATGCTCTCTGTTCCATGTTACTTGAGTCCCATTCAACCCTGTAAATCAGTATGTAAAACCCTTCGTTGAAATTGCTTGTTTCTTGAATTCCTTCACTAGATTTTGACTGACAATTCAGAGCCTGTGTCTACAGAGTTCACTGTTTTATCCTGCTGGTTTTTTTGGGTTTTTTTTGCGGCAATCTCACTGTGCAGTTCAGGTTGGCCTTGAACTCACTATATAGCCCAAACCGGCCTTGAATTGTGGCTCCTCCTGCCTCAGCCTCCCAAATACTGGAATTACAGGCATGCGCCACTTACTGAATGAAAGCAGTGGACTGATTACTGGTGTAAATTGGATGGTTCCTAAGACCACACTTACCAAGTTTAGGACAGTCCTGATGAGCCTTGTATTGTTCCAGAAAGTAGATCATGCAAGTTTTTTGTTTTCCACCGGAACCAAGATCCTGATTCTTTTTGGTTTAGGTACAAAACTTTGAAATTATGTAGTTCGCCAATCATACTTATATGAATCATAATATATCTTTTTAAGCCAGTCTCTGTTTTATAGTTGTTTTTATATAAATGTTTCCTTGGGAGCCTTTACAAAATGCGGCTAATGTTTCATTTCTAGTTTTTAATTAATTTTATATACAGGACATTGAAGCCCGAGGGCTTAAGATTTAGGAATATAATTCAACAGATATTAAAATTTTATTTATTTTTTGCTACTGAGGATTGAACCTGGGACCTTTACACTAAGCTACATCAGCAACTTTTTATTTTTTGAGACAGAGTCTTGCTAAGTGGCTAAATTTCCTGATATCACTGTATACTCCCAGCTTTGTAAGAATTTGAGATCCTCTTGCCTCAGCCTCCCAGAATGTTGAAATTATATGTATATGTTGTCTTACCCAGAAGATCTACTTCAGCATATCTTTTTGGGACTCTGTTATGTGTATAGTGCTGGTGGCTTAGTCCCTATGGGAATTGTTCATTAGTGACATATCAAATTGCTTCCCTTAAAGGCAAGAACTTAAAATTAAAAGAAAGAAAAAAAAAAAAGAACAGCCAAGGATAGAGCTCAGCAGCACAGTGCCTGCCTGGCAAGTGTCAGGTCCTAAATTCAATTCCTGGTACTACAACAAAAAGAAAAAACAACTTTGTATCTTACTTTTTTAAAAATTATTTTTTTCATTTAAAGAACAGATTTTTTTTTGGTTTGAATTAATAACTTACCCCCCCCTTCTTACATTTTTTTTTTTTTTTTTTTTGGTTTTGGTTTTTCTCTGGTACCGAGAACCAAA